AGGTTTTGGAGAGGAGACAACTTTTGACCTGGAATATTTTGCAAGGGGTCTTTTGTGTTTTGTTTTCTTTCCTTGCACCATTTCTTCTTCTCTGATTATGGTACAAAACACTTCTAGACTCTGTGAAGTCTCGTGTCATAAAAAGTAAACTCCTAGTTAGCTCCGACATAAAAATCACTGGGACTAGGGCTAATCTCCTTAAAGCTAATAGTCCTGAGGTCAGCAGGGCCTCCCCCCTTATGTACACATTGGACTTCCCAAGGAAACCCATGGTCATTTTGCCTGAGCAAAGAGACTGGCGTTAAATCCCAAGACTTCTGAGCCTTACACTTATACCCTGAATGAGTTCACACAGTGACCCAAGGTAATGGAACAGTTTTGGTTAACAACTCAGCTCCTGTCCACTTCTTTACAAAAAATGGTAAGTAAAGTACATTCTTCTGAGATTTACCTGAGTCATGCTGAACATGTTCGCATATACCCTGAAATTCCGTGATATAAATACGAGTATTAATACACCGCATGGTGGATGAGAGGCCACCTCCTGAGATTGCAATTCAACTTGGATTGTGTCTGGTTTAAAAATTTGTATTTATTTGTCTTCTTGAAATGAACAGAAACATAGAAAGACTTCATCCTTTCTTGACAAAATGGGAAGATAAAATGGCTGTTTGGCAGTTTATATTCTTTCTAACAATTCTATACCATGGATGGTTACCACCCACCAATTCTCACCACTCCCAGGAATGAGTTGTCCCTGGAAGAAAATGGGGAATTGCCTTCTGTTAATGTGCTCTTTCTCCTTCTTGTCCAAGGCAATCTACCAAACAAGGAGTTCAATTGTAAAATTGTTTAAAAGCATGTGTTTTGAGGTCTCCTATACTAAAAGGGAGGTTTAGGAAACTATTTTTATGGACTCTTCAGATGTTAACTAATTTGAAAAAATCTGTAACTCTACACAACATGAAGAAGGCCCTTTATGGACTAAACCAAATTTCTACTTAAAGAAATCTTCTCACTTACCATTTACATGTTTGTCTGTGTTCTAATTCTCAAGTGAGTAAAGATTATGATGTCACCTGTGCTTTGGTTCCACCACAGTTGTACAATTTTAGAGAAATGACTGTCCATCAGCCATATTCCAGAAGAATATGCCGTTGGTTCATTTGATTTTGCTAGGCTAACTCACTCATGCACCCTAGTGAACTGTTCTAACTGGTAATCAGTACTCTATTTCTTCAGGGGGAGCGAGGGAAGGCTGTACACAGATGGGGAAGAGGAGTTGCAAAAACAAAAAGCTTTCCTGGCTACAATCTGTCTTCTCTAAATCTGAGGACAGAGGAAATTAATGTCTTTGGTCTCTCTCGAATTCAGATCACTTGAGGTGAGTTAACCCCTTCAGAGATGCTGGGATGGCTAACAGCCCTGGTGTGACCCAGCCCTTCCACTTCCAACCCTATTGAACTAGGGCCCCCAAGCACTGGAAGAGCTGAGCTATGGCTATCAGCATGTCAGAAAGTCTCTCCTTTCGGAGAAAACAAGCATTCAGGACATGAGCTATTAAAGCTCAAGATCGAGGAAGGGGACTGAAAGGTAAAAATCCCACTACAATAAATATAAGTAAACCAAAAGATAGTCATTCCTTAATAGGCAGTTTTGTTAAGTGCACCTTCAGGTCTACAAAAACATTTCAGCACATTATAGTGCGAGGGGTAAGAGCTTTGTCAAACTTCGCATGCCTATGCTACACAGATAATCCCTGTACTCCATTCCTACTGACTTGGTTGCAATGAGCTACAGATGGATAAGCAGCATTCATTTCCCCCCTACCACCCAAATTCATAACAACTCTTCCCCGATCCCAGGCCAACAGGCTCATGCATGCAGCCCTTTTTCCTGTAACACATGCAGAAGAACCCCAGTCCAGTGAATCTATGAGAGGTATACCAGGTAGCCAAAACCAGTCTGATCAGTCTTGGTCCCATTTTGTCATCCTCTGACCCATCCATCCCACAGTACTGAGTGGATTATTGCTGTTGACGGAGTGCAGCGTTTCAAGTTCTGTGTGTCCTAGACCTCAAAGTCTAAATAAAAGATCAAGATATCCCCAGAATTTTCGGGGAGGTTGGCTTTGTTTTCCCAAACTGGAGATTTTTAAGCAGGTAGGAGAGGAATAGCCAGGATAAGTCAAAGTTCAAAAGAGAAGGAAACATCACAGCGGAGGGTTTAATGCCCTGTGGTCAGATGCTGTGCAGTCCTTGGCCCCTTGTCTTCCATGATGTTACATCAGTCTTACAGATTCTCAAAAGCCGCACAGGAAAGTAAAATATCCATGTTCTTTCTTTCAACTGAGTCAGCCAGCCTGGGTGTTACTCTAGCTTCTTGGTTTATTGCCTCCCTGCTAGTTCTAGGACAGGTGGGGGAAGGGACAGAAGTAACAGGGAGGATTCCCGAAGAAGCAGGGAAGGAATGTAAGGTGGGCAGGGTGGGCAGCAGCAGGCAGCCACATGCTAAGTGCAGAATGAAGATTCCCCACTTCGGTGTCTTTAAAAAGGCTGTGAGTGCCTTTCCATTGGTGGACGGCTGCCGGGCCACAGAGGCCTGTGTTACGTGGTTCTCTTTCAGCTAGACCTAGGGTCCCCAGCATTCTCTGGGCTGGGTGCCTGGGGCAGCAGAAGTTAGATGCTCAGCCTGTGAAGCGACTGCCAGGTAGGAAGAGCATAGGCGCATCATAGAAAATATTTGAAGGGAGTGGGCCGGGAGGGAAGACCCAAGGAAGGTTATGATATACGGAGTGTTCCCACATCCACACTGATGCCTAAAGAGAACAGACCATCAGAGATTTGCAGAGTGCTGTTGCTAACAGAGGAGAAATACAGAACTTTGCAAGGAACACTACATTGGACCTGAGGAAGCCTTTCACATCCAGAGTGGCCCTCGACAGGAAACAGATTTCCAAAAACTTGATATTGGCTTCTGGTGGAGAAGAGGGAGAAAACGGGCTCCTGGTTCACGTCCAGAGTGATGATCGGTCTCAGGCCCCAGTGTACATCCCAGATCAGGCTGCCAAAGGGACCAAGTCCAGTGGATGGCCAGGGAGACAGCACCCTCCTGGATCTCTTCTCTCCTGGGTACAGGATGGGGTGGTCTTCTCACAGTGGTGAAGTGAGACAGGGAGGGTGGAGAAAGCAAAAGCAAAAATATCTGTGCCTCAACCTTTCCTCCCTTTTGTTACATAACTTCTCAGCTGTGTTAATGGAGGCACTTTCTGCAGTTCACTGTGGGTACAGGATAAAGGCACTAAGCAACTATTAAATCAATTGGTTGAGTTTCTTCAGGGAGCCTCAAGGGGAGGGCTGAAGTCTCTACAGACCTCAAATCATGACTGCAAAAAGAAATCAGCTCTGCTTTGGATGCATACAAGAGATAAACATGTTCATTTACATCCTAAGAATGCACCAAAAACATGCAGTATTGCACCTTTTTTTGTTTGTTTGTTTGTTTGTCTGTTTGTTTGTTTGTTTGTTTTGCTTGTGTTTATTTTCAGCTAGAAAGAATACCTGTTCTTAGGTGTTGCTATATATACCTTGATGACTTATTTAGTTTTCCACATAGCTTCCCTTTAAGGGATGGGCATATTGGTCCTCTCTCTGCCTACACCTGCACAGAAACCTGACATTTCCCTGAGCAAAGGCAGGAAAATCAACTGAATGGCCCCCACCCCCCACCCCCCATTATTTTCTTTTGGGCCCTTCATCCCACAAACTTTTAATTTTTATGATTTAAATTTTTTTTTTACTGAAATCATGCATTAATTAATTCAAGGTACACCTTAATCAAATAGGCCATAATGCTGAATAAGAGAACATGCTTTGAGCTCCAAAAAGTTATTGTTCCCATCTGACTAACATATGCACTTAAATACAGTACTTTATTTACTAATAAAATAGTTAATAAATGAAGGAGTGCACTTTTGGTGAATGCAAATGAAAAAAGGATCTATTTTTAGAAGAGTTGATCCCAACGTAAGCTTATCCCCTATTGTCTGAGTTAACGTTCTTGGCATGCGATTATAAAATAAATATGATCAGATTCAAACATGCTTACATTTAGTTCCATTTGTGCTCTCTTGCAATAAGGAGGCTAAGATTTTACATCCAGTTCTGGAGGCCAGGGGTCAGGGTGCAGGACTGGTGAGAAAAGACCTGTGTTTGGCTCACCTGCAGTTGAGAAATTTAGCAGCACTGCAGACGAATCAGTTAATTTACTTCAGTGTTCTTTTTTCTTAGAGAATAGTATGGATGAGCAGGGGAAATGGGGCAGAGGGAAAATCCCTGCAGACCAGGACCAGTATCAGATGTATAAGGTGCTTTATGAACCAGTCTTAAATAATTTTGCGTGCATGTATGTGCACTTGTGGGGGTTTTCACCTTGTAATATACGGTTGGGATGATCAACACAAATACATTTGTTCATTGCCCCATTTGGCTGGTATATCATGTTACATATAATACATCAGATGCACTGTCTTAAATGTGCTGTGCAGTTTGCAAAAGTTTTATAATGGAGTCCCATGCAAATTTAAATTTTATATTTCTAAGTGATCGTCTGGTTTTTAGTAAAAGAAAAAAGTTAAAGAAGCCAAAGGATTAAAAATGTTTCGGTATGGGGAAGCATATGAATCTTATTTTACCTAGACTAGCTCGTGGACTGAATTGTTTTAAACCAGTTTTAGAAAATACACTTTCTTTTCCCATTTTTTAATAAAATGAAAATAGTTTCTTTTTGCATGAATCTTGAAAGCTTCAGGTTCACCATCCCCCCCCATCCTCAATGCAACAATGCATTGACAGTTAAATAGAGCATTCAAAGGCTATTTAGTAAAGTATCTACAAACAGTGACGTGGGTCACTAGGTTTTTGTTCTGTTCTGTTTTGTTTTGTTTTTAAGTCTTTCAAGCTTCTAAGTGGGGCTTTTTTTTTGTTTGTTTGATTGGTTTTTTAAACATCGGTGAGTAGCTTGCTCTTATTAACGCAGTTTTGGTTAGCTGTGGTGCAATTGCCAGTTCTGATATTGGCCTGTCTGTAATGGGCTATGCTATTATTCATATCCTCTTCGATCTCCATGTACTCAGATTTGCTGATAGTAGAGGAACTGCGCCGACTGAGGTCACTGTCAGAGGCTAAATTAGGGGAGCTAACGTGGAGCAACTGAGCCTGCTCTTCCCCCTCAGTTTCTCGGTGGTAGAAATAGTTGAAATTGGACACAATGACAGGTACGGGCAGGGCAATTGTCAGCACACCAGCGATGGCACACAAGGAGCCCACGATCTTGCCTCCAATTGTCACAGGGTACATGTCACCGTATCCTACAGTGGTCATGGACACCACCGCCCACCAGAAAGCATCGGGGATACTGGAGAAGTGCGACTCAGCTTCTTCCGCCTCGGCAAAATACACTGCACTAGAAAACAGTATGACCCCAATGAAGAGGAAAAAGATGAGCAGCCCTAGCTCTCTCATACTAGCTTTGAGGGTCTGGCCCAGAATCTGGAGGCCCTTAGAGTGGCGGGAGAGTTTGAAGATTCTAAAAACCCTTACCAAACGGATGACCCTGAGGATGGCCAGCGAAGTGGCCTGCTCGCCCTTCTGGTTTCCCTCCTGCTCGGCTATCTCGGTGCCTAGGGTGATGAAATAAGGGATGATGGCCACAATGTCGATGAAGTTCATGATGTTTTTGAAGAAGTCTGTCTTGCTGGGGCAGGCGAAGAAGCGCACCACCAGCTCAAAGGAGAACCAGATGATGCATAGGGTTTCCACGATGAAGAAGGGGTCCGTGAAGATGTTGGAATTGTAGATCACCGTAGTGTTGTCGATGCGGTGCACGGTGCCTGTGAAGTCCTTGTCATCCTTCAGCTCAGGTAGAGTCTCCAGGCAAAAGATGACGATGGAGATGAGAATGACCATGACGGAGACGATGGCGATGACCCGGGCGGGCCCCGAGCTCTCAGGGTACTCGAAGAGCAGCCACACCTGGCGCTGGTATTCCTTCTCGGGCAGGGGGCGCTCCTCCTCCTTGATGAAGCCCTCGTCCTCCCGGAACTTCTCCATGGCCTCCTCGCCCAGCTCGTAAAATTTGATCTCCTCGGAGAACATGTCCAGGGGCACGTTGACCGGCCTCCGCAGGCGGCCTCCCGACTGGTAGTAGTAGAGGATGGCGTCGAAGCTCGGCCGGTTGCGGTCGAAGAAGTACTCGTTCCTCAGGGGGTCGAAGTAGCGCATGCGTTTCTTAGGATTGCCCAGCAGTGTGTTGGGGAACTGCGCCAGGGTCTTGAGCTGCGTTTCGAAGCGCAGCCCGGAGATGTTGATCACCACGCGCTCGCAGCACTCGTGGTCATCGTGCTCAGCCGGCCGGGGGTAGCTGCCTTCCTGGGGGTGGCCCGGGGCGGCCGAAGCCTCGTCCACGTTCTCTCCGGACATCACCGTCATGGTGGAAGCGGGGCACAGGGGTGAGAGACCAGGAGAGGGCCGGGGGTGGGAAGCAGCGGGAGAGGAGGG